CTCTTACTCCGGCTTCAGGCGGCGGCCCGGACGTGATGGAAGCATCTCGTATGTAGAATGTACACGGTAAGAGGATGAGGTCTTCGCCTTTTGATTGAGTTTCCGAACGAAATGCTTGCTTCTGCTTGTCGAGCAGCCTCACTTCATTCATGCATGGGCCTGGAAGAAACGAAAGCGAAGAAATTCCTTTCCTTTAGCGGCCGCTACTCTAGGATGTCAATAGCTCGACCATTAGGGAGAGGACAGAAAAGCTCGACCATTAGGGAGAGGACAGAAAAGTAAAATTCATTCATTATCTTACTGATCATGTAAACGGAGACCTTTAGAAGGTTCCAACGATCTTATCCCATCAAGGTCAAGGTGTTCAGATCAATGCCATCTAGGGTTCGATCAGTGATAGCTGGGGTCATCTTACCTGGAGCAGATCGGTTGATCTTATAGACACGAGACTGAACGTAGGGTTGACCCACTCGACTAAAAGGAGAGGTTCTTTATTTTTGAGCTCTCACCTTGAGCCGATCTTATTCAATGGATTGTGACTTTCTCAGCTTGAGCTTTCTATCAAATTTCCATTGATGGACTAGTGGACTCATTGGACTCTTCTATCTAAGCTTGAGCCCGAAGCGAGTTTAATTCGTCCTTCATTTCATACCTCAGTCCGGTGCCTATGGGTTCCATGACCTTTCCGTATTCGATTCAATCCTGTTTTCGTCTTGAATAGTAATAGTAAATAAACGGGCTCCAGTAGCGAATGAAATGAATAACTTCGATTCAGCAAAGGCGACTTCGGAATGATTTAAAGAAAGATCTCCGCTCCCCTGCTTTCGTAGACTGATCGAGTCAGGTTGAGCTTCGTTGCTAGTAGTAGTCTCAAAGTCAAAAAGGTATTCAATATCGAATAAATGATCATTCTAAGCTTGGTAAGATGGAAAGGGGCTAGGCCAAGAGCAAGAAAGACGAGACAGAGACTTTATACGTAATTAGAAAAACCGGTCTGGTACTAGAGCTATAGGCTTCAAAGCTATAACAATGGAGGTTGGGAATGACTATTTGTTACTCACCTTGGAGGTATGCTGACCGAAGGCAAAGGTCAGCTATTATCTTTCTTTTCGACTTCAGGAGCTCATCAAGCGACTCAGCCTGACTGTACTGATCCAAGAGTGTATCCGTTCCGGAGAAATAGGCTTTGGTGAGTTCAGATCAATGGAAGAAGTTGCCTCTTTTAGGCCAGTGAGCCTAATCTATCTGTCTGTCTTACATGCCTGATTTTTTTGACCAGATTCAATCTACCCTTAACCATTAGTGGAGAAGCTTAAAACTCCAGTGTGCCTGTGCCCGTCGCCAATCTGATGCTTGGCACCATAATCTTTTCCTAACATCATCGGTTCAGCACACAGGACTAGTAAATAAAACCATTCTTAGTCGTTAGCGCTCTTTAACAGTCAAAAGAAGACAGAGACCTGTTTAATAATTAGGTTCCATGTCAGCTGAAGAGTAGACAATGCTATCCATAGAATAGCCTAAGAGAAGATCGAAAAGAGAAGCTAGCCCCATTGCTGATGGTTGGCTCGGATTGCAATGAGGAAGAACCCGGAGCAAGGTTCTGAATTTGCTTGTCTCCGTCCTTTCTATCGATTAGAACTCAACGTGAGAAGCTAATAAAGTAATTGGTCGGGTACAAAATGAATGTTCAAAGGTATTCTAAGACGTTCTCTAAGCGCCCTGGAATTCCTTTCTAATAGAGCGGCTCGAGGACGGTTAAACATTTTGTTGAGAAGAAAGCCTTGACGAGGTGCAATCCTTGTTACCGGGAAAGTAAACAAAAGGGGAGGAGGATACGAAGATCACAAGAGTTTCTTTCCCAAAGAGCCCCGTAATCCCCCTGAAAAGCCCCGGGATGGAACCCAATAGTGACTGTCAAAGTCCATGTCTGCAGGAAGGCAAATCATATTCTTTCTTAGTTTCTGAAGAGCGGGTTGAAGCCACTAGCTAACGCCCACCTATGTTCACTCCTGGGAACAGGAAAAGAAGCTTCGACCTCTATGGCAAGAAGAAATGGGACCGAAACCCTGTTATGTCAAGGGTGATACGACTTCCATTTGATATTGGATACCAGATCGACTCGCTTTTCACCTTAGATCAGGGCTAGATCGGGGCTTTTTGGTAATTCTTTGATACTTTTCTTTTATCGCTTCTCCTCCATCAATTAAATGGCAGAAGCTTTCTTCGTCGTGCTTAGGTTTTGAGAAGCTTATTTCATTCATATCCTTCCCAATCAAAAGGAGAATGCGGGTTTGGCACACTTGAATTGGGACTTCGATTGGAGACCAACTTAGGGTACTGGTTTCGCCTTGGTTTGGTACATTCTTATCTACTTGGGTTGAGCCTTTCGTTGAGCAGTTGAGCAACCAGCCCTGTTCAATATTTGCAATGCGATTCAAAAGCTGTAAGAATTACGATTATTAAGCTTACGTAATATATATATTCGATTTGCTTCGCTCACATTCTCTTCCTGAGCTTACGCTTGCAACTATATTCCTTAGCACTAAGCGTCTTCAATCCTCTCCCTATCGGGAGAGCTACTACATAGCCTCTCCTTTAAGTCGAGTGGCTTTCGCTCCTCTCCCGTTGGTCGAGCAACTACGTACCTCTGAGTTACTTCATACCTTAATAGTTGATCTGCCCCTTGTTCTCTCTAACAACACGCAATTAAACTCTACTTCATCCGAATGCTGCTAACTCCTCTTTCTAGTAGGTTCCTTTTTTCTAAGGTGCTTTATCTTCTTTTTGTTGGATTTCCTCTTCCTTACAGAAAAGCCTATATTTCCAAACAAAGGCTGAAAGCTGATGTTTGCCAGTCACAAGAGAGACTTTTGGGATGCTCTGATGAGTATCCCGTAGTCGAACGATACGGTTTAAGGTAAACTAACCCTTAACTCTTTGAGCTAAAGGTAATTGCCTTATCTTATAGAATTGATCTTGTTATCCTTAGCTTTCTAGAGGAAAGCAGTGAAAATTCCTTTTGGAATTCAATTTCTAAGTCTTTTACTGTAAGAAGCCAGGTTAGTATAGAGTACTAAAACAAAAACCTGGGAAGCAGATAGGACCTGATATAACCTGAAGACAGGAAAGGTTTTAAATGGATGTTACCTCACCCTCCTATTTTTTCTTTTGTACTTTCCTTGACTATTAACTACAGATTGGTTTCAATTGAAAGCTATAGTCCTGATACTACGTTAAATTATAGGATATAAAAAGAATCCCAGTAAACCAGCATTTCACAGCTTTCTTCAATCCTCGCTTCCCGGACATAGCTGCATTTCCGGACCGGCTGCCAACTCTTCGTCCTTAGCCCGGAACTCGTTCAACGCTAGAGAAGTAAGGATTCAGTCTCGCTTCATCGCTCGCTTGACTGAGGAAGAAGGGAGGAAAAAAAGAGATTCCCGGGTTCTAAAGAATAGAGAAGGTTAGGATCACGATACTTTTGGGAAAATGAAGAGGAATAAAGAACCTTATTAGGCTTACAGCAGGAACTCGAATAACACCGGACTATTTCGACGAAAAGGCCTGACAAGGGAAGGAAGTTAATACTCGAAAGCCAAAGATAGATATATTTTGTCTCGTCCCTTACTTAGTCCCGTCAGTAAACATTTCTTTTTTCGGGCCCGACCTTAGTTGAGTGCCATCAGTCAGTGGGAGAGACTTCCTGAACCCTTCGTTCAGTCGCCTCACTAACTCCGTGAAGCGCGCCCTCCGTTTATCTCGCTTGTAGCCCCCATAAGCGATCTATCTCTTCTCCTTTAAAGCGAGAAGTACTAAACGGACCTTAAACTAGAGCCAGGAGACAGATCCGAATACTGACTCGAGGAACAGGCCAACGTAGCTTACGGGGAAGGGGATCATAAAGACTAAACCGGGAGTGCAGTTACCATAGCTAGTTTCGTGAGGAAACTCTTTTTCGCAGGTTCAGTCTTTCAAGCGGCTGTGCAGATGGAGAATCTGTTGAGATCAGCGCTTCCGGCGGTTCAAGGAAGGGAACCGAGACTCCGGGCAAGTCGATCAGAGCAAGGACCAGATAGAGACGTTAGAGCTAGTACAGGTTTAGTTCCATCTATCTCTTTCGGGAGTTGGGTACGCTCAAAAGTGAAGTCAGTTAGTGGAGCCCGTTACCGTTAGTCAAGTGATTTGCTCAGTAAACGAGTAGAAAAAGACCTTCTTTCAAGTGTCTGTTGTCAAAAAAGACAATGCGCTTCCGGAGAACAGAATCTATCCTTTCGGCTCAAGGCCTCAGTGCTCGGTAGGTCGTAGATAAAACGGTTAGTTGCGTTTCGGGGGTCGAGGGCTACTTTTAAGAGAAAGCTTTTCATGTCATATACACCTTTAAGCTCTAGCTCTATCAATTCCTTCCTTTAATCTGCCTTGACCCTATATACACGATACCACCGAACCAAAGGAAACTGATTCAACCTGAACTACGTGAGAGCTCAAAGCTAGTCGAATCCTTACTTTTTGTTATCCCGCTCCTGAGCCATAGCCACTAGGATCAGAAGTAAGGGCTACTTACTTTGGATCACTTTCTCATCCGCATCTCTTTTCTTTCACATTTCCCAAAACTCATTCGATTGCTCGTAACGGGATGGATAAAGATGGGGGTAGGGACTATTGATGTAAGGTAAGATGCTAGCGGTCTAACTCGGGTAAACAGATGAGCCGGTTATAGTAGGTAGGCTTCTATCCGACAGGGTTTGATGGCTGATATCGGATAGGAAGAGAGAGATGACATTTCTAGTGAACCCAAGAAAGGAATGTAATCGAAGAGGCCAGGAAAAACCTGTGAAACAAAGGCCTAGACGAATGAACAAAAATTATGCTGATCTTGTATGTAAAGAAGGGAAAAGGAGATTCAACGAATGCTTGACGCCGGTATCTATCTATCATCTTAAGAGTTAGCACGAGCTAGCGAACTAAAGCCTATTAGTAATAGGGGATGAATCTCTAGACCTAAAAGCAGTGCTTTATAGAACTGTTATGCTACCGGCTTCTTTCAGTCCTAAAGTCAATCAAGAGGCTAAACTCGATCTATCTTTCCGGCTTAGCCGAACTTCTCCCCTGGTATGTCCTGTATGGTATGCCCTCTACCTGGGCAATCACTGAAGGATATTCTGATTCAAGCTCTGAAGCGAATTCTTTTCTCTATTGTACTCTCATCGACATCTCCTTACGCTGATTCAATAGCAGCTGGGTCGTGAACAAGAGCTGAAAGACGTTCAAGCTCAAAGCTAGTCTTTCTGTCATAATATATTCTATTGATTTCTACTCTCGAGTGACTGGCTTTCCTTTCGAGCAGACTAAGAAGAAGCCCACGGAGCGGTAGCAGCTACGACTTCTTCCTTCTGGGCTTACTTGCCAAGTCCAATAGCAAGGGATTCTGTACCAGCAAAGCATATTGTTCCGGGTCTTCCCTCATAGTTCTAGCTTTCTAAATTAGTCTGATCGGTGCGGGAAAAAGTCCTAAATCAGTAAATCCGGAAGTTCCTGCCTTCCCCAGAGTTCTTCCTTAGAGGGTTGGCACAAAAGCAGCAGATATTGAAAGTAATAGCAAAGAAGGCTAGGCTCCTCGAAGCAGATTCTATTAGATCTTCCTAAACCGTAATTCGCTAATCTCGATGAAAGAGCAGGTAACTACATAAGGCAGCTTTCCCCGCTCTGTCTTCTCTACGATTTACGGGTACTTACTCATGCACGGAATCAAACTTCAGGAGGTTGCCTGATGGGACGTCGGCCTTTGCTAAGGACTTTGCCTGGGTTGAACCCCTCTCTTCTAGTGTAGCTAGCCGCCCTTCCTCCAAGACTTGAATCAGGAATATCATTTCTGTACTATGCTGCCTTTGGCCCTGCGCCTGGTCTTTCTTCTTTATTGCCTTGGCCTTTCACCGGATACGCGCAATTCAGCCTTGGCATGTAAGATCTTTCACCGTAGCGCTTCTCCCCATTCGAGCAAGGAAGAAAGAAAAGACCTTCATCCTACTGAAGCTGCTAACAGAGACTGAGCAGATATTGACCTATGAGATTTGTAACTTCGGCTTGGCACCTTCCTTTGGTTCGTGCTCGCACGGGCCGTTTCTCTGCCAATCTCGAATTGGAATCTTTGTTTACCCGTAGGCCTTCCAGGATCACTTTTTGAGCTCGCAACGTTGAGTTTTATTCCCAGTTGATCCTTACTAATCCATATGAAGTTAGGTTAGCTACTTCCGGGATAAGGAATTTCAGAAAAGAAAACCCGAATGAAATGGGATTTTTCCTATCTAAGCTTTGAACCAGCCTTATAGATAGACCATTTTTCTTTAAAGAAAGTCCTGATTTACAGAAATTTTAGTTTTTTTTTTCATTCTAAAAATCAAAATACTTCCAGCCAGGCTTTCTGTGCTAATCCGCATTGCTTTCAAGCTTTAGGAGAAATTTATAATGGAACGAGCCTTAGTTCGGTTCTGGTGCTCAATCTAGTAATAGTACGGGCAGGGCAGGGCCAATTAAGAAAGACTTTGTAGGGAAACCCGAGTTCCACTAGAGTAGCGAACCTGGAAAGCTTAGTAGTTAGCCAGGAAAGCTGGAGTATAACGCAAACCGGATAAGCGAATAAAGTCATTTTTTCACGAATTCTAGGCGGGGATTAAGCATTCCTTTGAACGCAATGAGAAGATCTAGGGTAGAAAGTAGCTCCCCAGTAGAAAAAAGAAAATCTCGTCCCGACCTGGGGTTGGCTTGAGAAGGAGAGTCTCGCCGGTTGTTAACAAAGCGGCATGCAAGGAAGCAAAGATGAACCGGCTTGGGGGGAATAAATAATATGAATGTTCGGGTGGGTCCTTAACACCAAACTACCTTCTCTTCTAATCCTGCTACGAAATATCGATTTTCAGGCGGTAAGGTTTTGAGCCAATCAAGTAAGCGAGTACCTGTACCCGTCCCTGCTGTCGCAGGTGATGAAGTAGTGGGAGTAAGAAAAGGTTAGTGAATGAAATTTCCTTCAAACCTGTCAGTGTGAAATCAAGCTTCATAGTCAACAGAGTCAAACGGTGAAACGAAATCTCTTTCATACAAATCTTATCTTATGCTTGGCTTATTCGTCATGAGAATAAGAGAAATGGTTCAGCCGTTATGGATAATGGATGAAATTCCTTCAGGGATAGTGGGTGCAAAAAGAAAAGGCCAAGCACCGAATGCCGTATGTTAAGCATATAGTTTCTTTCTAACCGCCGGATTCATTCTTGAGCTGTTTTTTCCTCACACATCCAAGTCGGACTCTCTCGTTGGTCTGATTTTGTATGATTCCCATTCATTATACGTTCTTTTCGAAGTCATAATCACATTCTCTATATCAGGATTTATCCAAT